TTCAAAGTATTAAGTAAGAAGATTTTAGGAGTTTGTGAGTAGATTTGAATTGGATTTCCATAATTTACTATTTCTGGTTAGTGTATAAAACTATAAATATTGAAATTGTATAACTCTTTAAATATGGAGTGAGAAAACAATAATAAATCATTGCATACTTTATCTATTTTATCTTTTTCCTATTTCTTTCAATATCTTTTTCCCGAACAGAACACACCAAAATAGTCCAAAAAATTAAATCTCTTGTCAAATCAATTTCGTGTCTATCTTTAATAAAATCAAATGCTAGTTTAATAGTGGAGTCCGCCGCATCCAATATAGGATATGGAGGAATCTTGAAACAGTCTTTTGACAAGAAAGAATCCACTGTCCGTTTTCATTCCCGGATATGGAATTCTACTAAAAAAATTACTCAACTAAAAAAAAAAAAAACTTTCAATAGTACTTTGTGTACAAAAGTTTCAAAGCGATTTAGTTAACAAAAATTTTGTTAATAAAACGGATTCTAGAGCATCCAAATTTTTTTTAGAGATAGATGTGAAGAATCTTGTATCAAAATAATTTTTTGCTATATGGCAAGCAATTTTATCTGGCTTCGATTTTCAAATTTTGTCTATAAAAGAAATCGAAAATTCCTTGGTAAATTCCTTCGATTTTCAATTTTTTGCTATATCGAAAATTCCTACTCTCGAAACACACTCTCTCTATCCACTCTTCTTCATCTCGCGATGATCGGAAGAAAGACGGAAGAAGCCTACTACTTCTACAAACTCTCCTACTCCAATGACTGCATATAGTTATGCTATAGATGTTGGTTTCAGGCTGGTGACCAGATCAAAAGCAAAACTTGCTGCTCAAAACCAACTGGAGGTTATCACTCCGTCGAGGCCTTCTGCCTCTTCAACACGGCCATCTGCCATTATTCCATTGAGACCTACTATCTCTTCCACTTCAAAGGGACCTTCTGTCCCCTCAACCTACTCGAACGCGATTGTTCTCGTTCGATTTTCTCCCGTTCCTCAAATTAGGACCTACTTCCAAAATCTATATCTTTACAAGAAGCTCTAGTAGAACCAGAGTATGACGATCCAAAAATCAATGAGATAATCAAAAAAGAATATCCATCGAGATTCTTCTATATCCCACAAGACCTCCATAAGACCAGAAGAATTAATGAATTCATCTTGGTCGATACAAAATCTATTGAAATTACTCATATTCCGAGTTGCGATAATTCTTCAAAAATCACATATTCAAAACTAAAAATATTCAAAGTCATGAATCCGACGTATTGGAATCGAGATCCATACACGGAGAAGACTTTTTCAAAACCGTTTGTTCCTCATTCCTTCTCTTATAGAGATTATCAGATGGCATGGTTTAATGTCATTTGGTATCAAAACTACGAGAATTCATGGTCCATTCACTTATGCCAGAATGCTTATAAAATCAATTATCCATTTTGGTTCATCGAATAGTGGAATGTCTTTGGATCTGCCAAAGATATATTTCCTTGTTCCAATACAAGAATCATTCCACTACTTCAATCAAACTATCTTAAAAAATTCATTCCCATTGACTATGCGCTTCAACATATACTTTCAAATTTCTTAGATTCTAACTTGGAATTTCTAGATAAAAGAAACTGAAAATCGAATAAAACAGATCTTCAAGATAATCAAAATCAAATGGTGGGATAAATACAGTTTTACTCACGCAGATCTCAAGGTAGTGAAGGTTTAATTATCTGAAAATGGCTACCTTTAATATTTATAAAAAAAGAAAGCACTGAGTTTCTCAAATTCAAAGTCTAGGCTGCTTATCGCGGTAGCCCAGACAACTTTAGAAGCTGATTTCCAAAATCAAAGGCAAAAGCTTACTTATTTGCAACTATATCTCAAATGATCTTCATGCGAATAATGTCCCTCAAAACAGCAAAGGAAATCTGGGATTATCTCAAGATTAGATGAGAGGATTCGTGGAACTAAATTCTTGAATTTGATTAGGGATTTTGAGTTGCAGAAGATGAAGGAGTCTAAGTCGGTGAAAGAGTACTCTGACAGATTTCTCTACATTGCCAACAAGGTGAGATTGCTTGGTTCTGTGTTAAATGATTCCAGGATCGTTGAAAAGCTGCTGGTCACTGTTTCATAGAAGTTTGAAGCCACCATTACTACTCTGGAGAACACCAAAGACCTGTTAAAAATTTATCTTACAGGGCTCTTGAATGATTTACAAGCACAAAAGCAAAGGAGGTCTACGAGGCAAGAAGGGGTGATTGAAGGTGTCTTACCTGTTAAGAATCAATTCAACATCATGTATAAAAACAAGAAAGATTTCAAAAACCAATCGACGAATGGAGATTCATCTGCCAATTATCAGAAGACAAAAGGAGGAGGTTTCAAAAAATTCTATCCACCTTGCTGCCATTGTGAGAAGAAAGGTCATCCACCATACAAGTGTTGGAGAAGACCTGACGCCAAATGCTCCAAATGCAATCAACTTGGACATGAAGCTGTGATATACAAAGTCAAAAGTCAGGTGAAAAAAGTAGATGCACAGGTAATTGATCAAGAAGAAGAAGATCAATTGTTTGTGGTCACTTGTTTCTCAGATAAAGAATCAAGCGAGAGCTGGTTGATTGACAGTGGGTGCACAAATCATATGACATATGACAAGGAGATTTTTTTAGGAATTAAGAGACACTAAAGTTAAGAGAGTGAGGATTGACAATGGTGAACATTTGGAAGTTAAGGGAAAAGGCACAGTAGTTATAACAAGCTATGAAGGTACAAAATTTATTCCAGATGTTTTATTTGTACCTAAAATTGATCAAAATCTCTTAAGTGTCGGTTAGTTACTTGATAAGGGCTATAAAGTATAATTTGTGAATAAGCAGTACTTGATCAGAGATGCTAGTGGTAAAGACTTCTTCAATGTCAAAATGAAAGGAAAAAGTTTTGCTCTAAATCCGATGGAGAAATAGCAGATGGCCTTAACATCCATAGCTAGTGCCATTGAGATTTAGCACAATAGACTTGGGTGCTTTCATCATCGAGGTTTGCTTCAGATGTAGTCAAAGAAGCTAGTAGAAGAACTAGCTGACATTGATGATGACATGCCTCTTTGCCTTGCTTGTAAATTTGAGAAACAACCTAGGCAACCCTTTCCTAATTAGGCATGGAGAGCCTCGAAAAAGTTGCAGCTGGTTCATACTGATCTTTGTGGTCCTCAATGAACACCATCATTAAATGGTAATTTTATTGCATTGTTTTTATTGATGATCTAATAAGAATGTGTTGGATCTTCTTGCTGAAGCAAAAGTCAGAAGTTGTGAGTGTATTTTGGATATTCAAAGCCAAAGTTGAGAATGAAAGTGCATGCTTGATTCAGACTATAAGATCAGATAATGGCAAAGAGTACACTTCAGAAATTTTTAACAGGTCTTGTGAAGAGGCTGGAATTGTACATCAATTGACAGCACTATACACTCTTCAATAGAATGACATCAGTGAAAGGAGGAATAGATTTATAATGGAGATGACAAGATGCATACTTCATGAGAAGGATCTTCCAAAATGTTTTGAGGGAAAAACAGCAATGACTGTTGTGTGCTTACAAAATCGAATTTCAACAAAAGCTATGAAGGACCTGACACCATTTGAAGTTTGGTATGGTTACAAGCCTTCTTTAATGTTCCTTAGAGTATTTGGGTGTCTTTGCTTCACTTACATTCCACAGGTCAAGCGTGATAAGCTTGACAAAAAGGCAGAAGTTGGCATCTTTGTTCGACATAGCACTATATCCAAAGCTTATAGAGTTTTTCAACCACACACTAGTCATGTTATTGTGAGCCGAGATGTTCATTTTGCTGGAAATGAGCAATGGAATTGGGAAGTACTGATGAAGGTGAATCAGATTTCTAATGCTCCAAACAATTTAATCTTTGGTAGCATGTAAGAAGAGCCTGAAGATGAACGACAAGATGCTTTGGTTGATGATGCACCTGTCAGAGGAGGGGCTTTCGGTGATCGAGAAAAACAAAACCTAGGAGTTGGTTGATCGACCTCTAAATAGAAAGATAATTGGAGTAAGATAGGTGTTCAGAAAAAAAGCTTGGAGTTCACACCATCTAAACAAGGGGTGTTAAAGATCATGTGTTTGTTTAGATTGCTTACAGTTACTATCTGATTAAATCTTTAGAAGTTGATTTAGTTTTTGGTTTGTTTACTGGTTTATTACGATTTTCTGCAGATTTTTAAGTAGATTTTCAAAATATCTTATTGTATTCTATATATAGAGTCTTCTTGCTCCTCATAATACAATCTTCTTATCAACCATTCAATCACTCATTCTTTCACTAAGGCTACTTGCAGCATTAGCCCAGACAACTTCAGAAGCTGATTTCCAAAAGCTTCTTCAAGAGGCTGCATCCATCGGTTCAACATCTTCTCCTTCTATAGTAAAAGAAGAGACACGATCTATAATCTCAATGATTCATTTTTGGAATCCCAACCACCATGTCAATAAATGTCATATACAAAAGACTGAATAGTTGTTAAACTATTTGCAAAAAATCAAAAATAAAAAATCAATCCGTATGTCATCCTGACATGTTCTTTCCCCTTTGTCTTCCTTTTCCATATCATTTTTTCTTTCTTTTCCACGACAATATTCTTTCCCCTTTGTCTTCCTTTTCCATATCATTTCTTCTCTTTTCCAATTCTATTCTTATCTCACCCATACATAGTGGCCTTCCCCTTTCCCTTCCTGAATGAAAGTTATAGAGTTTCAAGGAAGAAGAGGAGAGACAACATCCTATATTCTCTCTATTTGTTGGAGAGTTCTAAACCATATTTTCGAGTTCCCCTTTCCCTTCGTGAATGAAAGTTAAAAGATTTGGTTGATCGAGTTTCGCTGCATATCTAAAATTAAGGGGTTTTTTCAAAAAAAAAATTAAATTAATTCTCAAATTTCTATTTAAAAAGAAAATAGGAAAGAGGTCCCACCGAGATTTGAACTCGAGTTACTGGATTCAGAGTCCAATGTCCTAACCACTAGACCATGGGACCACAAACGACACAATTTATTTGTTATTATATTGTTGTTACTTATATTGTTTTTTATTTTCTTTGAATATTTTGTGTAATATTATAGATGGTAAAATAATCAACCACCCACGGTCCTCAATTAAAAATTTAAAAATCTAAAGTAATAATTCTATAATTTTAAACCTTACCTTTTATGAGAGTGATACGAATATGTAAATTAAATGGTGTATTCTAAAAGAATAGAGAAGTATATCAGATAATATATTTGCATGTCTTGAAATTAAGGCAAATGGATACAGTTTAAGATATTGAAACGGTTTTAATCAACAATGAATACTAGGGTTTGAAAGTAAAACATACGCATGCACACGCTCTAAGAAGCTTTGAAAGTAGTTCCAAGGAGACTGAATCAAAACATGTGCATGCACATGCTCGAAGAAGCTTTGAAAGTAGCTTAGTTTTTTCACATAATGATTTAAGTGTCTCCCTTAGGGTTTTCTCGAGAGGGTTCAGATTCTGAGGTCTTATAGACATGACTACATGTTTTTTTCTTCATTATTTTACTCTTAGTACATCTTTAGTGAATTTCGTAAAAGACTAAAACGAGAAAAACAACTTTTCTGAATGACCGCATGACCCTCATTTCAAAAGGATTCTTAGGAGATATCTTAAGCATCCCACAACAATACTTACCAACAGTGACGAGTCTTTGATGAGAAGTCTTCTGTCTTAGTGGAGTGAATGAAATTTGATGTAAAATCCATCAATGATTGATTCACCCTACAAACATTTGCTAATGTGATAGGAACGAGATGTTGATGGCCTCATCGAACATCTAGCTAAACGAATCCCTGCAAACAATAGGCTTAGACATGGACGGTGCAGTGCAAAAAAATTTCGAAGTGGGAATGAGAACAATGGTAATCACATACCTTAAGCTAGAAGCAAGAATGTGGGCAGCGTTTGTGAAATCAAGCTTGATGCCAACTACCCATGAAACAGTCTATCTCCTTCGGAATAAATAGCAATAGTCCAATAGGGTTAAGACACTATTATCTATGTATTTTAGGAAAATGATTTAGGTATTTTAGTAATAAGATACTATATATTTTAGGAATAAAGATAACTAAGTATTTTAGAAAAATAAGTAAGATATTTTAGGAATAAATTGTCTGGCCTTGGCTATAAATGCTTCTCCACCCTACCACAATTTTCATCCTAAGAAATCTAAAGCACAACAGACTGTAGTAATTTTCACCCCAAGAAATCTTAAGCACAGCAGATTGTAGTACTTTCTACAATGTGTGTTGTAATAATTTTCATCCCAAGAAATCTCAAGCACAACAGATTGTAGTACTTTCTATAATGTGTGTTATAATCTCTTCTTAATTGGTGTTAATAAAAAGTGTGAGTGTTTCCTACAAAGAGTTGTACTCAACAATATGGTATTAGAGTGAGGTTGGTATAGATTATCTTATCTCTTGAAGTTCTTAGTATGCTATGTGGTCGCAGCTTTGTCTAATCTTTCACATCAGAAACAATTTCTTGAGATTATTACTGAGTGAATTTCTTTGGTCGTGAGTAATCCGTGACTACAAATTTCGTGTCAAAAATGCTTGTATGGTATTATTGAGGTATAACCAACACGATGGCTGACTTCCAAATCATTTGATGAATTAAGAAACTCAACAACAACAACTATAATATGTGGGTAACATGCATGATGTCCTATTTACAAAGACAAGACTTTTGGGAGGTCGTCGGTGAGAGTAAAACTATACTGCCAGAGGAGAATTCTAATGGTGCTTTGCGCAAATAGAGAATCAAAGCAGACAAAGCAATGTTTTCCTTGAAGACGACAATTGAGAAGAGATGTTAGAGCACATTTGGGATGACAAGACACCAAAAGATGCATGAGACACGTTCATGATGCTGTTCTCAAAGAATAACAATACGAGGCTACAACTTCTGAAAAACGAGTTGTTATCAATTTCACAACATGACATGAAGATTGCTCAGTACTTTCATAGGTCAAGTTGATCTGTCGAGAGATTACTGAACTAGACCCGAAGTCTGTGATTGGAGAAGCTCGAATGAAGAGGATCATTATCCACGGATTGTGACCAGAATAGAGAAGTTTCATTATTACTGTGCAAAGATGGCCTGCTCAACCATCAGTTGTTGAACTTGAAAATTTGCTAGCTAGCCAAGAAGCCATGGATAAGAAAATGGGAGGCATCACGCTGAAGAGTGAAGAAGAAGTGCTCTACACAAGTAAAAGTCAAAGCAACAATAAGCCACATGAATACAAAAATGCTGACAAAGGAAGAAATCACCAAGAAACTGCACAATCTTAGAGAGCTTAAAAGAACAACAAGAGTTTTCAAGGGAAGAGATTTGAAGGTATTTGCTACCGTTGTGGTAAGAAGGATCACAAGTCCAAGGATTGTTAGTCCAGGAAAAAGTCTTTTGAAAGTAATGTGGCAACCTCAAAAGAGGAGAGGGAGGATGAATGAGATGCAAAGGTATTATGTGCTATAGAAGAAGACGAGCTAGCGCTCATGACGATAATGGGAGAACATATCGATTACGAGAATAACTGGATCATTGATTTAGAATACTCAAACTGTTAGGATCGCACAGCAACGAAAACACTCGATCTAGATGAACACAAAGAAAATGATAGAGAAAAATGCAAGAAAGAATATGGGCTCAAGGTTTTAATTAATAACTTCATGCCGGAGAAGATAGAGAATGAATAAAGTACATCTTCAAAGCGGGCACATATATGGATTTAGTTTACTATATATATAAATATTTACCATAAATTTTTCTACCCGCTTTATACTCTAAATAGTTGTTTACTATATATGACCATTTTTTATATATAGTTTTACTATCTATAACAAATGAATGAGCTATAAATAGGTCGCATGCTCCATGTCCCAATACAAACCACACGACGATCAAAGTGGCGTAATGAAAGTAGTGTGGCCCTCGGAGAAGAAATTATTACCAAACTTGGACAACAGTGAAAAAATTCTACCACTAAAGACGGGTGAGCAAACTATACACATTTGAGTGTTGATGTGCCTAAAGATCCAAGTAACACTAATGTTGTTGAGAAATAAGTGACTCAATCAATAAACTCGGTCAAAAAGAAATGACATCTCAGCAACTTAGTGTTGGAAATAAACTTAAATGAGGGAAAAAAAGGAAAGTAATTATGAATTTTTAGTTTTAAATTCGGTCAAAAGTCATTACATAATTTAAGAAAGAAGTGGCTAATGGGTGAGAAAAATTATGTGTCAGTTATGGTCAATTTTAGCCTTAAGAAAACCTATAAAAGGCTTTAATTATAGTTGTAATAGCAGAGAACAAGAAAGAGTTACAGAACAAAAGAAGCAGCACAAAAAGTGTAATAGAAAAAGGTTTTTGAGAATTTCTTTGTCTCCTTGTCTCTCCCCTCTCGACATCCCCTTTAAAGTTTCGTGAGAGTTATCTAACGAGTTAGTTTCAGAACGAGCGTCTATTTTCTACAAGTTGGTATCGGAGCAGCTTTTAATTTCAACAAATTGGTATCAGAGAAAATTTATTTTTCTTCAAATTGGTATCAGAGCCGATGGTGAACATGATGGGACAAATGCCGCTACCACGATTGACGAAGATGAACTACGAGAATTGGAGCATCCAAATGAAAGCTCTTCTCGGTTCGCAAGATGCATGGGAGGTGGTCGAAGACGGTTTCGAAGAACCGATTGATATCACGGGTTATACGGTGGCGCAAAACAAGGCGCTAAAGGAAGCACGATCAAAGGATAAGGCAGCATTATACATGCTGTTCCGGGCTGTTGACGAGTCGGGCTTTGAGAAGATTGCAAGGGCAACTACTTCAAAAGAAGAATGGGACAGTCAAGAAAAAATGTTCAAAGGAATCGATCGAGTCAAGCAGGTGCGTTTCCAGACTCTGCGAGGCGAGTTGGAGAGCATGAAGATGAAGAAGTTAGAAAATGTATCTGACTATATTACACGTGTACAAACCGTGGCGAATCAGCTAAATCGAAATTGAAATGTTACTCGAGACGCGGGTTGGGGAGAAAATCTTGAGGTCGTTAACAGATAACTTCGAGAATGTCGTATATGCCATAGAAGAGTCGAAGGACCTGACAAAGTTCACAGTCGATGAGCTTGCCGGTTCTCTCGAGGCACATGAGCAACGTAAGAAAAAGAAGGAGGAGCCACTTGATCAAGCGCTGTTGATTTTCGATAATCGACCAGGAAAATTCTTTGTTTTCGGTGAGAGGAAATTGTCGACGGGAGGTTGTTGGAAGAAAAATAAAATGCTTAAAATAAAAGAGAGAGAGAATGATGAAATTTTGACTGCTCTTCTTGTGAAATCTTTTGAACAGATTTTCTATATAAATATAACCTATCCTAAAAATGGCTTGAGGGTGGCAACTGAATCTGTGTCATTTTCTACAAAATTGCCGTCCAAAACTTAGTTAATCCATTCGACGTGTTTGTAGATGGTCAAACGGAGAATTAATGTAATCGTGTGAATCTAAATAAGGATAAAACTCAGGTTTTATCTAACAAGTGCTCGACGTGTTTGTAGATGGTCAAACGGAGAATTAATGTAATCGTGTGAATCTAAATAAGGATAAAACTCAGGTTTTATCTAACAAGCGCTCCTACAAAATTGTCGTCTAAAACTTCGTTAATCCATTCGACGTGTTTGTAGATGGTCAAACAGAGAATTAATGTAATCGTGTGAATCTAAATAAGGATAAAATTCAGGTTTTATCTAACAAGCACTCGACGTGTTTGTAGATGGTCAAACGGAGAATTAATGTAATCGTGTGAATCTAAATAAGGATAAAACTCAGGTTTTATCTAACAAGCGCTTCAGACAAATGCATCGATAAAGGATGAAAAGGCACTCTACTCATGCAGTCACCATGAAGCTCTTCCTCGGGTTCGACACTCACCAGAGCAGTTATGCCGTCGTCGATTACCTCTGT